AAAATTGGTCAAGGCCGCGAAAACAATGCGGATAGACGACCCCCACCCGCGTTATCAAAAATATAACATAGTCAACACATTAGACTAAAACATTTCCGATACACACCACAAATGTGAGACTACGTAGGAGGCAAATAGTGTACATAGGATTTAAACTTTTTCTCCATAAGTGGTTCCTATCGGCTAAATGTTGAACTACATGTAGTCCGTCATTCCCGAACAAAGCAAATTGGAATCACTTATTTTATTCAGCTTAAAACTGGCGCCTGACTATCAACGACCTTCCAAAATATGGTAATAGTATCAGGTATTAGTCTAATCACCTTCGCCAAGAAGGTTATGTTTTCCCCAGCGCATGCAGCGCCACCATTAGACTGCCCTATGAAAATTAAACGAAGTCAGAGCTGTCTAGGTCACGTTGCGTATTTGCAGTGTCCACGCCAATGGATTACTGATGCTTCAATAACTAGTAGGTGTCTTTTAGTTCACTTTTTTGAACGTGTTGTTCGTGGGGTACCCGGCAAATTATGAGCAGGGCCTTTGATTTGAACAGAAATATCATCAGTTACTTACCATTGCCACTGCGTCCATTCTTGGCCATGGTGCCCGGGTGTTGTAGGCTACATTCCACAAACTCCACAGAAAGATGCCGGCGTAATTCACCATGATGAGTACTGACAATGTCGCTATGGCTGTCATGCGAACACAGTCCGAGTCTTCAGAATCCACCGCAGTTCCATTTTCCGTCATGCGGCAAAACGTGTCTTTCAATGAGCATCTTGTGAGGTTGCAAGAAGCGGTTTGGTTGAACCCAGTCGTGGTTAGCTTTGTGGTCGCGCGGAGGGGATAAACAAGGACGAGAAGAGACAACTTTGTGGAGAAGATTCCCAGCGTCAATGCAAAGCACAATACCAGCCCAAGTACTACCTTCGAAACCTTCGGCGACCAAACCTTACAAGACGATTGCTCGTCATGATCTTCCTCTGCGTCTTCATCGTCACGTTCGTTGATTGCCAGCAGCCGTTCCTGTTGACTTTCCTCGGTTGTGTGGCTGAGCTGAGACATTTCTATCTGTTCGCCCACGTTCGCCATGGTTTAACACCCTATACTGGCTGCGTAGCTCCACCGATTTCTCGACTTTCCTTCTGATGCGTTAGTAAATTACCATTACATCAGGGATATTCACAAATGTGGTATAGGCTTCCGAGACGGAAGAATGCCAACATAGGCTCCTACAAAAAAGTAGAACAACCTACCAACTACTTGTTACTTGTCTTGAAAACAACTTTGGGGCTATTAGAAGTGAGGTACTGGTTCATAGAAAAGTACACGGCCATCAGCACCGCGACCTAACTCAACAGTGGACCACAGTACACGTTCAGGTTAATCATCAACTACATTCCGATGGACACCTGGCCGATGTCACACGGAGGCCGCTGGAATTTAAACTCCATTTACGTGCGTACATGCACGTAGGCCATACTAGCATGTTTATTGCACTGCATGAAAAGGTGTATCATATCTACAATTTTGATGTCGTTATGACGTAATATGACGTCATTATGACGTCATTAATGTGATTTTATTGGCCAAAACCGTCTAGATAGGTTTTTCCCTGAAAACTAAATGGTATTCAACATAACTTCATCAAAAGTGTTTATGACAGAATATTAGGGTGTACTTAGTCTTATGTTGCCCATAGCAACACCGGTGACGTCATAAAATGACGTCATGCATATTTAAGATGTCCACCATCTTGGATCATTAATCTTGAATTTTCAAAAATAGTTTTTTTATTCATAATAAAGCCCAAAATACATTGTAACATACTAAAGACCTTCATTTAAGTCTTTTTTGGAAAAAAGAAATGGAAGTATTGATGAAATTTTAATGAAAATAACCTGTATATACCTGTTTTAATGATATGGTCCGCCATCTTGGATTTTGGCCAATGGCGTCATCAAATTAGCATAAATTATGTATATTTAATGATAACATTTACATAACATTTCATGGAATGTTATGAATATTAGAAACCATATGTAACTTGACATTAAACGCATAAAATTCTGTTTTTAAAACAAAAAGCACAAAATTTAGTAAAAATGTCTGTCAGAAACCCGTTGCCATGGCAACCCCCAAAAATATTATCTTATTCTAATGATAGAGAATTGTTGCCAACGATATTCTAGGAAAAGTCACCAAGTTTGGTCGTTCTAGCGTTAGCCGTTCAGACATTAGGTGACATCAAAGTTGGCGCGGGCACTTTTAGCCCCCCCCCTGGTCTAGGTAGGGTTAAAGACAATTCGTTGCAGCGTCGCGTCTATTGTTGATGTAGGTTTCATTATAGGTATAGATGGAATATGCTGTGTTGATTACAAGAAGTCCGGTCACAAACGCATATATGGGAGTCAAAGCTATGTGTATATGGTGAGAGAAAGCTATTATAACAGTTAGGTTTAATGAGAGTGAAATTTTGAACGACTGTATGATAAATACCCATGCCTACAAGAACTGGAGACGCAACGCTCTGGCAGTCATTGGGTGCGATATGAGATGCAACAAGAGTGAGGCTAAAACCGTAAGTTAAGTTCAGAGTCTGAACCACAATACAGGCAACTCTATTTTGTTGAGGATTACGTAACAATTCAAGTTCAACAGAGAAACTACAGTAGTGCAATGTTTTAGTCTCAACAGATATGTAACTATGGTCCAGTTACAAGTCTTAAAGGTGCAGGTCCGGATACTATTGTAGAAAATATGCGAACTACTATACTACATGCGGAGCACACACACGTGTGAGATCACTATAACCTGGTCTCCTGGTCTCGACTGATGTACAAGAGGTCAGAGTTCATGCACTCACTATCAGTATTTACGTTTGACGTACTACTTTTCACAAATTAAAAATCACAGTAGTAGTAAATGGACAATTTGGCGGTCGGACTATACTGTCAAGTAACTTTTCTATAGTTCAACATGTTTACCAGAACATGTTATTGGATCCATTGGCTAAATTGTGAGGAGCTTACAATTCATGGGGCTTAATTAATCGCAACCTCTGGAGCGGCTGCCATTCGGTAGCTTGTACCTGGCTACGGGAGGTGGCTGGAAAGAGTAGAAATTCCCTAGCATGCTATCTTCGGGAGGCGGCTGGAAAGAGTAGAAACTCCTCTGGCATGCTACCTCTCTTATTTGGCCGATTTTTACACTTTCTAGCCGCCTCCTGAAGCCTGGTAGAGAATAGCCATTCGGCGCTAACTCAAGTGACCTTGATATAACCCCAGATGAGACCACAGAACATACAGTAAGGATTGAACCACTCACACCGGGACTGTCCCCTACTCTTTTCAATAAGTGTGGTTGGTTCTTTAACGTGCGTGGGGTGTGGCTCTCCCAAGCACGGAACATGAAACGTCCAAGGAAGTTTCAGCTACTCATTTTTGCCTAAGGGGAGTGAGGAAAGTCGTGTAAAGTGCATTTCCAAAGGGCACAAGACATCGGACAGGATTTAAACCGGACACCTGTTCTGGGTTCTGGGTTGGACACTCTGACGTTACGCCACACGACCCAACATGACCCTATAGGCCTATCTTTGTAATTACTAGAGCCAAGTCTGACGGTGTTTAAAACCTAAAGTGTCTTTTACTCTAAGACTTCCATGCTGTTACGAGAGGATCAAAGGTCAGGGCTCAAAATAAAATTAACTGCACCAGACAATTTACCTGCACCACTTAGAGTTTTAGAAGTATGGAGCACACTAAAACTGCTCCGAAACCATTGCCATTATTCCCTTTATACTTCATACGTAATAAGGTAATAACAGTAAAAATCCACAGCACAGGGGTCGCGTTGCGTAGCGGTAGCATGTTGGGGTCAGGACCAAGAGATCCCGAGCTTGAATACTATCCATGACACCGATCTTGTGCCCTGAGAAACGCAGTTTACACAACTTTCCTCGCTTCACTCAGGTGTAAATGAGTACCTAGCTTCGGTTAGGGACGTCCCTCGGATAGGACGTTAAATGGAAGCCCCGTGTTTGAGGACACCTTCCCAGTACGGTGTGAGTGGTTCAAACCTTACAGTCCGGTCTTACGCAGCTTGTACTTACATTTACAAAATTGGTGTGCTAAGCAAAAGGTGGTTTACCGGTTATACGACAAACACATACAAATACATAAATACCAATACAAATACACACATGTATGTACAGCTAGTACCTGGACCAGTGCAAGTTAGGTCCAGGTACGCATCAGAAATACCTGCACAGTTCAAATGTTACCTAAGGTGCATATGCAAAGGTAAGAGCCCCGAAGGTTAGGTTACCTTACAAAGGCATTCACAAAGGCATCGGCATTTCTCAGGTTACACCAGGTGTCAGGATATAGGTCATTAGTTCATGCACGCGTCCCTAACCCGCTTTGTCTGCTGCACTATTGACTTAAAATAGTTCCTATTGCGGTCAGGCCCCAAGGGCAAGAATTCTTTCTTTTGAAGAAGGTACGAGTGTTGTGTATATTATGATCACAGACCGCAGACTTCAAACAGGGCACAGAAGAGCCACGTTGGTCTTGCTTCTGATCTTAAATCACAATGCTTTTATATTTTTTTTATATTCCAAAACATGTGAGATGTGGTGACGACACAGTCAAGTTTTTTCAACTTATATTAATGTCGCCACCAACACAGAGTCAGTACAATACTCATTTACACCTGAGCGAAGTGAGGAAAGTCGTGTAAAGTACATTTCCCAAGGGCACAAGATCGGTGGCATGTCATGACTCGAACCCGGGGCCTCTGGTTCCGAGTCGGGAACGCTGCCGCTACGCCACACGACCCCACACTTTTATCCTCAGACAGGTAGTAAACACGCTGAGTCGGTTGTGTACATGTCTCGTCATGCCATGTTTAACGTGTCCTCAGACGACCTCTTCGGGCCATGACCGCAGGCAAAATGGCTATTGCGCATGCGTAAACATGGCGTCGCATTCCTTACAAACATGGCAGTGACCTTCAGCTGGATAACTGAGTCCGTCCGGGAGATTTTACAGATCTCCGGGCTGTCTCTGCAGTCTTTTCTCGTCTTCTGTGTGGCCTTTATCTTTGCATGTTTCCTCTTGAAGCGCCGCGGAAACCTCCCTCCCTACCCGGCAGGACGCGTGCCTGTTCTCGGGCACCTCCTCGCCTTGGGCCGAGCGCCTCACCTCAAGCTGACGGCGTGGAGGCGGCAGTACGGGGACGTCTTCACCGTCAGGATGGGGATGGAAGACGTGGTGGTTCTGAACGGCTACACTGTCGTCAAGGACGCGCTGGTTACCAGGTCCGACCTGTTCGCGTCCAGGCCGCCAAATCACCTGTTTGATGCGATGGTTGATTGTGGAAAAGGTAAGGGTCTATTCACTATGTGATTTTCTTCGCGTAAGTCGTATAACAGGTTTAGAACAGTCTGATAGTATGCTCTTTGTCAGTTGTCATGTGACAGAAAGACATGGTTCTTGCTGTCTGGTGTCTTGTCAGTACCATGCATTCTAGTCGATACAAGATCTTGTATGTATGTATGATAATTTTTTTTTTATTCCAACATTTCATGACTGGATATGTTGACGGCACACTCAAGTTACATTTTATACCGTCACCAACAAAGAGGACAAATACGGAATAGGACAATACTCATTTTCACTCAAGTGAGGAAGGTCGTGTAAAGTGCCTTTCCCAAGGGCACAAGATAGGTGGCTCGTCAGGACTCGAACCCGGGACCTCTGGGTTCCGAGTCAAGTACTCTGCCGCACACGACCCCATGATATGTATAATATTGAATTACATATATGTCAAAGACATGTTATTATGTTCGCCAAGAAGGTTATGTTTTGGTAGCGCTTGCATGTTTGTATGTATTTATGTTTGGTCTGGCATGCATGACGACTAAAACTACTTACCTACCTGCTGCCCCTAATGCCAGTCCCGGCAAGTAGTGCAGAAAGAAAAGCTCTCTAGCTCTAGTTCTCTCTGTCCTGGGCTATTTTCTGGATGCTATCTTAAATATGGTTCTTTTTTATAAAAGTGTGGGGTCGTGTGGCGTAGCGGGAGCGTTCCGGACTCGTAACCAGAGGCCTCGGGTTCGAGTCCTGACATGCCACCGATCTTGTGCCCTTGGGAAAGGCACTTAACACGACTTTCCTCACTTCGCTCAGGTGTAAATGAGTATTGTACTGTCCCTGTGATGGTGTCGGCATTAACCCTAAACAGTACACCTGGGGTCCGCGCGGACCCCAGCACTATATATTCTGTAATATCTTTTTTGTTTCTAAAGATTTTTTTCTGATATGTTAGGTAGTTGTCACCCACAAAGTTGTCTCTCAAAACAATGCAAAAAACTCCGTTTCTACCATTTAAAATAAAAAAATACATCTGATTTTCTTTTGGGGTCCGCGCGGACCACAGCCGGCTTTCGATCATAATGGATACACTGGCGTTCTTATACATTACCTTATTTCCGTTTTTATATGTTTTTATGCACTCATCGTGTGTCTACCAAGTTTTCAGAGAATTGTGTAGTAATAGAATTAAATTTTAATAACTTTGGTGTAATTATGACGTCATATGACGTAAGAGCTAATAATATAGTCCGCCATATTGGATTTTGACCAATGACCACATTAAATTAGCATATTCTATGCATATTAAATGATTTAACTTATATTTAATTATGTAAGATGTTATTAATGTTGGAAAAGAAGTGTAATTTAATATAAAACTCTGAAAATTTTTATGTTTAAACCAAAATTACTTCTATTTTCAAAAAAACTGCCTGCTAGAAACCCGTTGCCATGGCAACACAAAAAAAACATCAACTTACTAGTATTAAACTAATATGAACTTTTTTCCAGAGACATTTTAGGAAAGGTCTCCAAATTTGATACTTCTAGCACAAGCCGTTTAGCCGCTATCTGAGATCAAAGTTGGGCCTCAAAAGCCCATTCAGTCTGAAATGGGTTTAAAAATCGGATATTTCTTCTTGTCTTCTTTTCTTCACCAAAAAATAGAAAAAGTTCAAAATGTATGATTTTTGTATGTAATGTGGACGCAGAGGTTCCCACATCAGTTTGCAAAACAATTGAGCTGGTAGCATGTTGATAATTTCTAAAAATTAGCAAAAAACAGTTCTGGGTCCCGCGCGGACCCCAGGTGTACAGATTAATCAGTCCGGGAAGGTGTACTGTTGAGGGTTAATATAAGTTGAAACAAGACTTTTGAAAAAAGTTTATCTCGGCCGCTGCCCGTGGCAGTGTCCCGGTGAGTTTATTTGTAATGAGTGTAAGAGCACAGTTTGCACGGTGGCAATGATTGGTCTGCACGATGGCAGGGTTTGGTCTGCACGATGGCAGGGTTTGGTCTGCACGATGGCA